CACACACACACACACACACACACACACACACACACACACATATATTGTTGCCAACATTCTGGTCTTCTGAGCTTCAACCAGAATCTCCCATCAATCTTGGCTCACAGCATTCTAGGGCTTCTTCTTCAGTTGGCATCTCCAAACCTTTCCAAATTCCTTCCACAAGGCAGTTCGAAAGGTTTCTGAACCACATGGTCAGGTGGCATCACAACAATGACCCCACTCGTCCGGTACCAAAATCTGTGTCAGTCACTGTTCACTAGAGGAATAGATTTAATGTAAGAAGGATCCGGTCAAAAGTTGAAGGCCTGGAGCTTGCTGCAGAGTCCCGGGAGAGTCTGTATCAGGAAGCCAAAGGGTCTGCACTACAGGGATAAAGTCTGCACTGGAAGCCTAGAGGGAGACATTCAAAGGCAGTGACAAAAGACTGGCACTCCTCTGAAGAAAGAGAAGTGAGACTTCTCTTTTTTTTCCTTTTTATTCTATCTGGGCTACAAGCTGTTATATCTAGATAACAAGCTTATATCTAGATATCTCCCCAAAGCCTCATGTGCTCACAGGTGGGGCTTTTGGGAGGTGACTGGACTAGTCCACTGATGGATTTGTAGTTGACTGTGATGTTTGGAGGTGAAGCCTGGTGGGAAGAGGTGAGTCACTGTCACAAACAGGAAGTAACAGGACCAGAGAAGGAGTGGGTGGCAGGGAGAATCAGACTGATGGTAATAGCTGGGTGTGACAACCAGCATCACTGATCACAGGTTGAAGAGGAAGATGTGGAGAGATGTAGAAACCACAAGGCTAGTGTTGCCAGAATAAAATTGCACAATTTTCTGACTGGGTACCTGGAGGCCAGGGAAAAATTTTAGGGAGTATTCAAGATCAGTGGGCCTTAAAATAGTCTATTTATTGTCTTTTCTAGTCCTGACCATGGCTAGAAGGAAGCTTGAGAAGTCTTTCAGTATAGCCACGGACTAGGGCCTGTGTCTAGCAAGTGTGCTGATTCTCAGGGTATGGTATGGTATGACTGAATGGAACAGAGTCACCAGACTAAGGGAAGTTAAATGAAATGGCAAATTGAAAAGACCCTAAGCTTTAGAGTCATTTGACATTGTTTGAATTCTGGCTGTTTCTTACCAGCAGTGAGACATTGAACAAGTAACCAACTATCTTTTGTAAGACCAAGGGCTCCTAGAAAGTAGAAGTTTGGAGGAAGTAATAAATATGAGATTGAATTATGCTTTTTAACAAACAAAAGCAAATAGTAAAAATTCTCAAAAACAACTGCTTTGAACAAAGCCAATTGGTTAAACTAAAAACCTTGTTTACGTCACCTACTGCTAAGAAGGTTGCCGTGGGGAAGATTATCCCTCAAGTCTTATAAACACAATTTGTGAATCAGTAATTCCTGACCTAAAATACAGCATTTCCAACATATGCTATTTGTTGTCTTTTTTTGCCCTTTCATTTCAGCTTCATAAGTCTTTTGTTTTTAAATTTTATGTATTGGTTTGTTGTTTTGGTTTTGGTTTGGTGTGGTTTTGGTCATTTTTATGTTTTGGCAACTGTCTGGTATTTCTCAAAGTATTCGGGTGCTTGAGGGCCTTGTTTTGGGGGCTTGGCCTTATGTGCAACCATGTGCACCCTACTTGATACGTTCCTACTGTGGGAACAGTGAGCAACTGAAAATGTTCGGTTAACTAATAAAATTTACTTAGTAATTTTACATCAAAATCTCCATTAATGTGCAATAATTGGAAAGTTATCATGAGTATGGATTTTAGAGCCAGGCTACATTTCTACATTTTGGAAGGTCTGAATACAGGCTTCATTATTTCCTACCTGTGGACCTTGAGACTTTTCCTACTTGTGGGACCTGGGAGGAGCCTCCCTCCCTCTATCTCTCCAAGGCCTCTGGAACCCTAAGCGCACACAGTACCAGTAAGTTACATTCCCATCTTTGTAACTCACTTTCCTACATCCTATTATTGTGATAATTAAACAAGTTAATATGTGTAGAGCTTTTAAAATAGTGTCGGGCACACAGCAGAGCTATTTGCTAAGAATCTTTTGGCTCACCAATATTTTATTTTCTTTGAGGAGAGGATTTTTTTTTATTGTTGTTGTTGTTTTGAAACAGGGTCTCTATATGTGTCCAAGGCTGGCCTCAAACTCAGGGTGATCCTCCTGCCCAGCCTCCCAAGTGCTGGAATTACAGCCATGTATCACCACACCTGGCAACACCAATATTTTATCTTGGACATTGAATCTAGGGCCTCATGCTTGCACTTTTACCACTGAGCTGCACCCCCAGCTGCTTGGCTCACCATTGGATCACCAGATCAGACTGTTAGGTGATAAACTAGTCTACCTCATTCTTCCTTTATCGCTTAGCTGGATCTATGGCTTGGTTGCTGGGAAGGTGTAATGATGGCTTTATTAGTTAGAGTAGTAGTAATCCTTTAACAAGTAAAGCATGGACCAGGATGTATAGGGAAATTTGGGCACTGCCCCAAAGTAGCTACAGAGAGGAGAAATGTCTGCTATTTTCAGTTATTATCAGTTTGTAAAAGTACTAGAGAGTGATTTTAAGAAATCAGACTGGGGGCTGGGGATTTAGCTCAGTGGTTCCGCCACCTGCCTTGCAAGTGCGCAAAGTTCTGAGTTCAATCCCTGGAACCAAAAAAAAAGAAAAAAATTAGACTGGCCCTTTCCTCTTTTTGGAAGGGAGAGAGGAAACACACTCTTGTCAGGTGTGAAAAGACTCTATTTCAGTCTCTTGGCTGTTTTTATTGTTGTTTGTTTTGTTTTTTTTCTTTGAGAAGGTTCTGGCAGCCTCTTTGTCTTTTAGGTTTAAGTTTAGGGTTTTTTAAAATTTTTAAATGTCTTTATTCATTTATATAGTAAATACTGTTCCCACTTAAAAAACATCTCCTAATCTGTCAAGCTTAACTGAAAAATTCAAGTATTTCTTTTCTTTATCATGTATTGACACGATACAGAATATAAATGTCGATTTAATGGACATTATTAAATAATTTAATACGTAGGCAGAATCTTGGATAAATGGTTAAAATTACAGACCAACATTAAAGGTGAACACATGGATATTTCATGTAGTTTAGAGTGTTTGACATGGGTGAAGGGCAGACCTAGGGTACTTATTGCAGGTGCTGAAGAACCCCGCCTCTGGAGCGTAGCAGAACTTTCATTGGTCCCAGGGCTCTTTCTCCGCCCTGTCATTACTCAGGACTGCCCTGGCACCACCCCTAGCTCGCCTTCCGGCCCGGCCCTTTCACTGAAACTTCTGTGGGGGTGAGAACGCCTGATTCCCTGCATCGTATTACGCCTGCGCGGCTAGACCCCAGGCTAGAGCAGCGGGGCTGTCTAACGCCCAGGTTCGTCTGTCACTGCGCTTGCGCCGGAGGCCTCTGTGCTAGCAAAGCGGAGCGGACTTGTTGGCCGGTTCATTTGTCAGTGCGCCTGCGTGCGGCACGGGTGCCGCGGTTCTTGACTGCAGCGCCAGCCATTGGGTGTAGCCATGCAGAGATCCGACTCTGAGCAACCCTCTAAGCGGCCCCGATGCGATGGCAGCCCAAGAACTCCACCAAACACTCCCGCAGGGACGGACAGGCCCCCAGTCTTGGAACTCCATCCCGACCACCGGACGTGGGGCCCGGAGCAGGTGTGCTCCTACTTGGAGCATTGTGGCTTCTCAAAACCGGGACTGCTGAAAAACTTCCGAGGTAGCGGGGCTGGAGGGGCTGAAGGGCGAGGGGTGGCTACCTGAGGAGGGGGCCAGCTGGGCCTGAGGAGGGGCGCCCTGAGAGAGGGACCTCACGAGAGGGCGAGGACGTAGAGCTGGAAGGGAATAATGTGGGAGGCACTCAGAAGGGGTGGACCTGCAGCGAGGCGCCCTGGACTGAGACCCTGAAGTGGAGGATGGAGGAATGCGGGGCTCCGGGGTGGAGGTCCGTAGGAAGGAACAGGCTCTGAAAAGTTGTGACCCTAGTAGGGGCAAGTGTAGATTTGGCTGTTACTCTGGTGGGTTTCTTCTGGAACTTGCCACCCGAGCACCGGACAGGTGAGACTCGGGTCCTTTCCGCTTCCCGACCACCCCCCACCCCCACCCCCGCACACACGCACACACACACACACACACACACGCACGCACACACGCTGGGGAATGAGCCCAGGTCCTTGTGCACGCTAGGCAAGTGCTCTACCACCACTGAGATCCATCCCCAGCCCCTTTATTCTGAGATAGGGTCTCGCAGGATTGCCCAAACTGGTCTCGAATTTGCAGTCCTCTTGCCTCAGTAGAAGTTGAGATTACAGGCCAAGGGCTCGCTTTTTTTTTTTTTTTTTTTTTAAATTAAGAAAACTCTTTTCCCCAGACCTTGACTGGCAGCTTGGTGTCATTCAGGCTCACTAGTCTCAGGAAACCCACTGGGCTAACCGCAGCTCCCTGAACACTCGCCACATGAGACGTTCTGGCGCTTTTAAGTTTCCCCCCCATGCCCACCCCGAATTTTGGGGTTTTCCTAAAGTGGAGGGAACTTATTTTGTTAGTCTCTGAATTCCCACAGACTACCAGAGCAACCCCAGGAGGGTTCATTGTTGACTGCATGTGCAAAGCTTGGTAATGATTATGTTTTACTCTTTGTAAGCAATTTCTCTTTCCAAATCAGAATACTGGGGTTGTTTAGTTGACCACTGAATTCTCAGCATGGCACAGTTTAGTCACACTTGGGGAAGTGGATAGTTGGAGAGTTTTGGGGGGGTTTTTTTGGTACCGGAAATCGAACCCGGGACCTTGCACTTGCAAGGCAGGTGGCAGAACCACTGAGCTAAATCCCCGGCCCTAGTTGGAGAGTTTTAAGCAGCTTTCGTAGTTCATGTCCAAGCATCCATCTCTCCCTTGAAATCTGCTCAGCTTTTAGTTGGTGGGTGTGAAGCTCCTGCTGGATCCCTGGAGTTATTCAGTAGGAAAGTGGCTGTACCCTGCAAATTCAGTCAACTTTTCCAGTTGTGGGGTGGAGCCTGGTTTGCCTATGAAGCCTGGTGTGGGAGGAACTTTAATCGTTCAGGACCTAAAGAGAATTTGAATGTACAAAGTTGTACTTACCTTTTCCCGTTTCCTCTCCTAGTTTTACTCCACTGCAGGGATGGGCTTTTCTTTTGACTAGTAACAGAGGATGAGGTTGTTTTCTATTTTCTATTTCCAAAATGTAATTGGCTGTGTTCTTGCTCTTGTATTTCAGTGTTCTGTAGATTAATTCATCAGCCTCCAGAGAGGTCTTTTGAACCCACAGTTTAGAACTAACATAAGACACTGTGTGCTTTCAATTAGTAAAAACAGACCAAATGTTCCTACTTGCTTGTATCTTAATGTCTACTTTGCCTTTTTTTTCTGGACTGGGGATTGAATCAAGGGGCATTCCACTCTGCCAACTGAACTAAATATGTTTATTTTATTTTGAGACAGAGTCTTGCTAAGTTGCTCAGGTGGAACTTGAGCTTGAGATCCTCCTGCCTCAGCCTAAGGATTGGAGTTACAGGCTTGTACCACCTACCTAGCCTGGCTCTCTCTCTGCTTTGTCTTAACCAAACATTACTCAGGTTTCTCTTTCTTTACAGAACTCTAAACTCTTTTTGCCCACAAATCTAAGCAAGCACTAAAAAAGTAGAATTCCCCCCATTACCTGTCACCTTCTCCTGGGAACCTGCTAACCACAGTGGGTGGGACACTGTCCTGTTAGACTGGTAATTGCCTCTGGTCATGTCCTCTTTGTCCAGCTTCTCCAAACGTTTTGCTTATTTCTCCTTGTCCTTCCTTAACCTATAAAAGAGAAGCCTTTCTGTTTGATTTTGAGCAACTAAATTTCTGAGCTTGGACCTGTTTGCAGTATTTTTGTTGTTTTGTTTTGTTTTGTTTTGTGTGTTTTTTGAGGCAGGGTCTCACTACATAGCCCAGGCTGGCCTCAAATTCATGGCCGTACCCCTAACCTTAGCCTCATGAGTGAGGAGATTACAGACGTTTGCCACCACACCAGGCAGTAGTTTTCCTTCTTTTTTCTTTTTTTTTTTTTGGTACTGGGGATCGAACTCAGGACCTTGCACTTGTGAGGCAGGGGGCAGAACCACTGAGGTAAATCCCCAGACCATAAGGACTCTTCTTGTTCCAAATGAATTTTTGGATTATTTTCTCCAGGTCTGTGA